GTCGGCGGACTTGGCCACGATCACGAAGTCTCGTAAAAAGGATTGCGAGGTGGCCGTGAAGATGATGCGGGACGCAGCTGGGTTCTTGGACAAGGTCAAGGAGAAGTACGGGATGGAGCTCAACGAAGTGATCAAGCTCAGGGCGGACCTCGAGATTAGGGTTGTCATGCTGCTGTTCAACAAGCGGGCCAAGACTCGCAAGCACTACGCGGACATGAACGCCATCCGGAACGATTTCATGACCGACCTGCTCGCGATCAAGCCCGACATCTTCGCTGGGGAAGATAAGTTGGAGCCGCCCTTCGAGTATACCGAGCCTGCCAAGGCCACAGCTTCTGCAACTACGACTCCGACGATGCGGGACTACGGGGAGAGTGGCCTCGCCGCGGACAGCGCGAAGTCTCTAGGCTACTGCGTCGGCCAGGTCTTGGAGAGCAAAAACAATCCCGATGAGCTCGTCGTGGTGCATAAGATCGAGGGCAACCAAGCCACGCTGAAGAGGAAGATCGACAAGCTGCAGGTGACCGTGTCGAAGCCGTCCAAGAAGCCGAGGGAGGACTCGCAGCCGCTCGCTTTCAACGTGGAGGTCAGCAAGATGGTAGACGAGTACAAGGCCCGCCCCTTTTGTTTTCTCCAAGTTTTCTGCCATGCAAGCTTCTGAGAGATCTTCCCATTCGTGTTTGACAGGTTCGTCTTGGGTCATTGGTTCAGGCGTCCTTGGACGCCGACACCACAACGTACTACATAGCATAGATGCGCATACGTACGTGCATATATCTAAATATAGTGGGTAGGACGGCAGAGGGAGGAGGAGGAAGAGGAGGAGGAGGAGAAGGAGGAGGAGGAAGAAGCGAAGGAAAATCACTGGGGGGACGGAAGGCGCAAGCCAATTTATACTGGAAGCCCCCTTCCCACCTTCTGGAGTCGCCCCACCTCTTTCGGACCACTCCCAAAGTCGCCATACAACGTACTAAGGCATAGTTTTGAGGCCTTTCAGCGGGGTTCAAAGCCTTTAGGGGTCTTCTTTTAAGCGATTACCCCCCCTCCCTCGGGGCTTAATTTGCAGCCAGGGGTAATGATCCAGACTCCCACCGTACCCCTCGACCTCTCTCGCCCTTAATCCTCACCGTGGCGAGGTCTTGCTCGAGAGCTCCGTGCCACAGAACATCGTCATCGATGACAACTCGTGCGTGCTGGACCCGCGCGCGGGGGCCAGACGACGACGATGGCGATGACCCCAGTCATCTACTCAGCTTCTTCCACCTGCTCCTCCCCCTCCACATCCTCACCCTCATCCTCTCCATCCTCGTCCTCCCCCTCTCCCCTCCGCATTCCCCCCACAGTTCTTTGCGTCTAAGGAGGGCACCCACTCCATCTGAGGCAAGCGTCTCCTTCCGTCTTGCCCTCCTCATGGTCCTCCTCCTCATTATCCTGCTCCTTGCACTGGTGCGCGCTCCCTCCTCCTCATCCTCCACCTCCTCCTCATCCCCCTTCTCCTCCTCCTCCCACCCTCCTCCTCCTACTCCTCCTCTCCTCCTCCTCCTCCTCCTTCTCCTCCTCCTCCTCCTCCCCCTCCTTCTAGTGACAGTTCTCCCCTTCGTCGATCTCCTCCTCCGCCTCCTTCTTTATCTTCCTCTTCCTCCGCCGCCTCAGGAGCGCAAGGAGGCCAAGATCCAGCTGGCAATCGTTGACACGAAGGCCGCCTTGTCTCAGTTGCTCCAGAAGTTTAGCCGCACGAAGTTTTCAATCCACTACTTCTCTTCTCCTAAGCAGTCGGTTTCCAAAATCACGACCACGGCCAAGTACGATAAAGGCTGTCTGGTGCTGGTCCCATGGTCGCCAACTGTGAGCGCTGGCATCAAAGTTCCCTCAAATTCGATAGAGATCCCAGTCGTCGGCCTCGGTGACACCAAGATCTACATAAGCCCCCCAAAGGTCGATCTGCCCAAGGTC